TGGCGCCCATGGCTCTTCACAACTTCCAGTCCCTTTTAGATCTTTTGGGTATCTCTCTCGAACCCTGCTCGGTTATCCATTCACTCAAGCTCACCAGGTAAGAAAGAAAATCTGCCACCACGCTATCTTAAAGTCCGCTGGAAAAAAAACCCCAAAAAACGCCGAAGTCCTAAATATCTCAAAAGCCTACAGCATTGAACTTTTCACCATCTCTCCTAGTAGGATGGATTGCTCTTTGACTGCGAAGGTTAAGCTACATCTTACAGGGTCAGTTATTTTCGCGGCTCGCCATTTGATGTGTTTAAATGCGCCACCTATATATATATATATATATATACGTATTTGGAAAGCTTAGGCACACGTAGTTGTTAAATTTGATGTGTTTAGAAAAAAGTAATCTCATGAATAAAGATTAGTGATGATTTTTTTTTTTGTTTCTCTAGTTATTCAAGTGTCAGGTGAAAATCGATGATCTGTTTTCATCCTTCATTTATTTATATCTCGATTCTTTCTCCCTTTTGATTTTTTTATAAAACTTTTTACTTATTTCTTTCATTTTTTATCTTTAAATTCATATATTTCCGTTTTGGTGAGTGTTGGCTTATTGGTTAGTATACGTTTCTTATTGGTTTTAATTTTCTTTTTTGGGACATTCATTGCACCTTTGCGTTCAGTGTCCTTCTTAGCCCCAAGAAACCCAGAGGTATAAATAAATTTTCAATATAAATGTTTCTTTATATTCTGACTGTCGACTTAAGGTTCTTGATTCATAATTTATTTGGCCGCTTTTTGTTTACCCGTTACAAGACTTAAACGCTTCTTTGTAAACTTTCTTTCGTCTTTGTTCTTAATTCGACTTTCTTTTATTCCCCACCGTTCTCTTTTTTTTTCTTTTTAAAGGGTTTCCTTTGCTTATAGCATTCCATTGTGTTTCATTAATTAGCCTTCCCGCGTTTTTCTTTCTTCCACAATCGGCTGACATGAATAAGTGACATTATTTTCGGAGCGACCTGTTTATAATTTCGTTGAGATTCTCTTATTGTTATCCTGTTTTTCGTGTCTCTGAATTTTATCAGCCAACCCTTCTTTACTTTCTTGAAAGCTTCACGGCATATCCAAACACACACACACACACACACACACACACACACATATATATATATATATATATATATATATATATATATATATATATATATATATATATTATAAATAAATTGATTTTTATGTTTTTTTCCTACACAGTTCTAACCATGTTTCAAAAGACATTAGTTTCATTTCATCCTCAAGCAAATTCGCTTGAGGATGAAATGTAACTAATGTCTTTAATTTAATTACAAAATTAAATTCGGGGCTTTTAGCTTCCATTTTTGAAACATGGTCAGAACTGTGTAGCGAAAAAAGATATTTGAAATCAATTAATTTATAATATTAATGCTCTGTAAATTTACATTGAGCAATATTTTGTAAAAATAAAAATATCTATAAGAACACCAGATTATATAACTTACTGTTCTTTCTTTTTATTTACACACACACACACACACACACACACACACACACACACATATATATATATATATATATATATATATATATTGTGTGTGTGAATTTAGGAAGCAATTTTTCATTGATGCATGTTCCATTAAATAATATAGACAAGTTTTGTCTATTTATTTTAAGCAAATTCCTTTCATATTCTCTGATAAGCTTAATAATATAATCATTGAAAGACGAAAGAAAATCACCATATTGATACATGTTTTTTAATTCTATCTAAGCTTATCAGGCGATATGAAATGAATTTGTTTAAAATAAAAAGACAAAAATTATCTATATTATTTATTGAAACATGCATCAATATATATATATATATATATATATATATATATGTGTGTGTGTATATGTGTGTGTTTGCGTATATATATATATACATATATATATATATACATACATATATACACACACACACATATATATATATATATATATATACAAATAAGAGACAGAACAGATAGATAAGCTCCACAGTTCGTAGACAAGTTATCCACCATCACCATATATATATATATATATATTGCCTGCTCGTTATTATGTACTTGGTTGATTTTTATTTAACGACATATCAACTTCCAAGGGTTACGTAATGCCGAAATCTCAATAGTTTAAACACAGTTTTATGGTTTCCACCTATTGTTTGTTCATTTTGTTATAAAATGTATTCTTGCTCATTCTACTATAAGATGTATTAGTAGCCATTCTACTAATAAACTATCCACTAAAATATATATTACTGATATTTTTACAATTAAAATGTATTTTTTACACTTTCATAATGATTCGTTTTTGTTTGGGGGTTCACTATTTGCGCATAACTGGGCCTAACCCGTGGTAGCACGTTGGGTCAGCGTGGATCTGGCAATAACAGTAATTAAGAGGTGGTTCGGCGCTTCTCAGAACCTTTAATAAATAATATACATATATCAATTGCATATATATATATATATATATATATATATATATATATATATATATATATATATATATATATATATATATATATATATATATATATATATAAACATTTCACACACGCACACACACATATATATATATATATATGAAGAAAAATTTGGAAAAAACAAACAAAAATCTTTAAATGCAATTATGTTGTTTAAAATGAATGAAATGTCGACGTCTGACGTTTCGGTTTAATAAACCTTTTTCAAGACAATATTCATTAAAATACAATTCAGTTCAAAACGTCAGACGTCGACATTTCATTCATTTTAAACAACATAATTGCATTTAAGGATTTTTGTTTGTTTTTTCCAAATTTTTCTTCATTCTGTCGAATCTATATCCATTTACATTTGCTTACATATATATGTATATATGTATGTGTGCGAAATAATTTTGAGGAATTACAATAATCATCTAGTAATTCATCAAGTTTAGAAGAATTCTCAACTGAATGCAGAAAGCACTGGACGGCCGTTTCGTCTTACTTTCATCAGCAGTGCGCATCCACTATCGATATTCGAACCTGAAGCGTCATACCAACTGTACCAATGGGCCTCGGCGACGAAGAAGAAACTGAATAGACTCGATATAACGCCGCTACTCCCAAATTCCGTCTTGATACTCCTCCAAGTATTCATATCTAAACGGGTCGTACCCCAAGAGCAACGACCTTACTTTTCCCCTTTCGCTGAACATTAGCTGGGTCAAGCAAGGATATACAAGTGAAAGAATGTTGAGGAATTAAAATAATTATATAGGTAAGAGACCTTGCCGCCGGATTGTTATTACCTACCTTGTTATCTATCGTGATTCTTCCAATGTAGCGTTTGGGAAAGTAGCGGAACCTGCTTAATTGAATGCTGCTGATACACGACCCGAAAATCGACACCAATTATGGAAGTAATCAGCGCGATGGTTTTAAAAACTGTTACGGTTTTTTGGGTATATGTAACTAGGGAGCCAATCCAAATGACTTAACTTCCTTTATAGTCTACCAATAGAAGGTTAACCAATCAGAAGCCGCAGAACATTGTATCCGTCGTGTATAAAGGCGGCCATTTTTGTTTACCCTACCCGAATGACCAGTGCCAACTTGTCAGGCGAAGATGACTAAACGAAGAACTACGCTCTGCTACGATATCCACTGCGAACCTGAACTACGCTTTCCTACTGTCTCCGAAATATTCACTGCCAACCTCTGGATTCTATACTCGAAGACGACCGTCATGAATTTGTAACAAAAATCTTTCCTTTGATTTTTTTTTCAGCGGTTTTTATAGGTACAGACATACTTTTAAAACCTTCCGAAGTATTCATTTAACACATAGGATCGAGAGTTAAAGGTTGTTTTTCCTTTAACATTCGCAAAGTGTATATTGTTAATTACCTGGGGTTAGCTGTTGATTTCTTTTCTTATTCATTTGCCATATCGCTTGAGGAAGTAGATGATCATGGTTCTCCACTTCTTCCTATCTCTTGTAACTCTCAATAAGTTTTGTCCCATTGCTACTTCTCCCAGACCCTGTTCTTGCATCCACTAGCTTAAGCCCGCCAGGTATATCACGCGTTGCTTTCCCTTGTTTCTCTTCCCCTCTATTCGCCCTGTGAGTATCCGATTTTCCAAGCCCTCCTTTCTCATTACGTGGCACATAAATTTCAGCTGTCTCTTCATGATGGCAAATATAAGCTTCCTCCTTGTTTGCATCCTCACCGAAACCTCATCGTTGCTCACACGCTCGGTCCATGATATCCTTAGCATCCTTCTGTAAAACCATACATCCCTTACCTCGTTCCACCATCTTCATAGCCTGGTTAGCGAATAACCCTCATTTCGTCCGTATTCCATTGGTGGGAAGTAACTTCCACAGGAGCCCATACTTCCTGTGAACTCCCGCTCTGTCAAAATAGCCTGTCAAGATGATATTTGTCTTGAGCACTGCAATATTAATCTGTTCATGTCTCGGATTAACCGACCTATTCCCCACATATTCGCATAAACTGTGCCTCTGAATTTGTAACCCTTTACCTCGGGTCACTCCTGGAGCTTGTACAAAGTCGAACCCACTGTAAAAATAAATCCACTATCAAAGTTTAAAATCTTACAGAAGTGTGTGTATGTATGAAAATTTTAATTTCTTCTAAAGAGCAGTCGCCAGATAATTATTTATAAATATGTCTTCCGGTCAGCAACTGCCTGCTCTTCTTAAATGATGGTCACCCCGTGGAGTTAAGTTACTAAAATAAATCCATTCAGAATAAATACTAAAGTGTGTCATAATTTAATACACGTGATGGCACCAAAAGTTCTCGGCCAGTCTAACTCATAAAATCTGACGGAATAAATAAATCTACGAATATATTTGGAATGGCTCTCCTAAGTCCTTCCAAGGATTTTTCAGTTTTTCCTTCCTGTGTATGTTTATACATATATGTAGTCACAGACATGCATACATTCACACACGCACACACACACATACAGAGAGAGAGCGAGAGACGGCAGACAGACAAAAGAGGAGAAAGATAGAGAGGGAGGGAAAGGGGGAGAGAGAAAGATGCAGGTAGGAAGAAAGAGGGAAAAGACAGAGAGCAAGAGAGAGAGAGAGAGAGAGTAGAAAGAGGGAGACAGAAAGTGGTTAATGATATATATATATATATATATATATATATATATATAGATAGATAGATAGATAGATAGATAGATAGATAGATAGATAGATAAAGAGAGAGGAGGAGAACAAGGCTGATTAGAAAGAGGGAAAAGACAGAGAGCAAGAGAGAGGAGAAAGAGGGAGACAGAAAGAGGGGAATGATAGAGAGAGAGAGGGGGGAGAACGAGGCTGATTAGAAAGAGGGAAAAGACAGAGAGCAAGAGAGAGGAGAAAGAGGGAGACAGAAAGAGGGGAATGGTAGAGAGAGAGAGAGAGAGAGGGGAGAACGAGGCTGATTAGAAAGAGGGAACGATAGAGAGCAAGAGAGATGGGTAGGGGGGATAGAGGCACACAGGTACAAAGAGGGGAAAGAATGAGAGAGAAAGAAGGAGACAGAGAGGTGGAGAAAGAGGCTAACAAACAAAAAGAGGGAAATATAAAGAGGGAGAGGGTAGAAAGAAAGAAGCAAACAAGTGGATAGAGAGGTAGAGAGATTGGAGGGCGATAGAGAAAGACAGTTAGAAAGAGTATAAAGAAAGAGAGATAGGGAGAAGTAGATATAGAGAGAAAGAGGCTGGCAGATAGAAAGAGGAAACATATATAGAGAAAGGGAGAAGGGAGAAAAAAAGAGGTAGACAGATAGAAAGAGGAGAACGATAGATAGAGTGAGAGAAGGTAGTGTAGAAAGTGTCAGACATGTAGAAAGAGTGGAAAAATAGATAGAGAGATAGATATAGAATGGTGGACAAAGAGGATGACAGAGAGAAAGAGGGGAATATTGATAGAGAGGAAGTGACGGAGAAATAGAGAGAGATGGAGGAGAAAGAGGCAGACAGACAGAAAGATGGAAAAGATACAGTGGGCGAGAAGGGGGAGAAAGAGACAGACAGGTGGAAAGAGAGTAGAGAAAGACAAAGGGATAGAGAGAGGTGGGAGAAAGCGGCTGGCAAACAGAAATAGAGGAAAATACAGAGAAAGAGATGTGAAGAGAGAGAAGGAAACAGACAGACAGAAAGAAGGGAAGATAGAGAGATAGAGAGGGGGAGAGCGAAAGAGAAAGACAGAGAGAGAGAGAGAGAAAGGAAGGATAGTGAGTGAGAGTGGGGGAAGGTGAGCGAGGTTTTCATTGTCAGATGATCATAATTCAATTTCGCATTTTCTTGGACAGTTTCTTTATATCATAATTAAAATTCTTAAATGATTCTAATGGACGATCATTTTCAGCAGACATTTTACATCAGAAATAATAATACAAAAATTATTGATGAAAATATAGTCATCCATTCACTCCTTTCCACTCGGTGCATCCGAAAAAGCCTGACGGCACACATTTTGACATTATTTAAATTCAATAGCACTGATTGCATAAACATTAACGTATACACACAGGCAAGTACACTCAGTGACAAACCTACCTAAAGAACTATATGCGAGCGTGTGTAAGCATATGCACCTGTTAGTAAGACATTTGTATTTATTTACATATATGCATATTTCATTAGTTGTGGTGATACGGTGGAGTTATGGATAGCAACTCAGATTGATGGATCGGAGAGTCAAGTTCGAAATCCAGTGGAATATATATATATATATATATATATATATATATATATATATATATATATAGAGAGAGAGAGAGAGAGAGAGAAAAAGAGGCAGACAGACAGAAAGAGGGAAAAGACAGAGAGGTAAAAATATACAGAAAGATAGTAAAAGGATACAGTGCGCGAGAAAGGAGAGAAAGAGACAGACAGTTATAAAGAGGGCAGAAAAAGACAGAGAGAATGTATCATCTTCTCCCAAATAGCAGGGCCGACTGGATTCTATAGCCTTGGGTTGTGTTCTGTCAGTCTATCTTGACCAAGAAACATCATTTCTACTGTAATTGACCCTGATCTGGAAATTCGTCTGCAGTTGCTCTCTCACCGACGTGCCGTCGCCTCCCTCTGTCTTTTTACAAATACTTTCAAGGTAACTGCTCCGAGGAGCTGCTTTCGCTGGTTCCCAGACTTCATGAATTTAAGCGTTCAACTAGGCTGGCATCTCGCTCACACTCTTTAACTGTCGAAACTGTTAAATGTAGCCGTCTCTTCTACTCCAATAGCTTCATGTCACGCAATTCTCGCCTGTGGAAATTCCTCCCTTTTTCCTGTTTCCCTGATGGCTATAATCTCCAACTATTCAAATGTAATGTTAATCGACGTCTCCAGATGTCTTGATCTATCCCCTATCCTTCTCTTCATCCTTTCCTCTATCACTCCTATTTGCTCTCGCTCAAACCCTCTGTAACCCCTAGCGTGCTAGTGGCTTCCTGCCTTGCTTGAGGGTGAAACGCTTAAAAAATACATCTGATTGGTCACGAGATTCGCGATATTTAACTATGTGCACTGGCTATTACACGCTCACACACACACACACACACACACACACACACACACATATATATATATATATATATATATATATACATGTATAGGATTGGCATATACGGAATAAATTCCAATAACCAACAATTACTATTCTTAAAGATTGCTCAATATAGAGTAGAGCAAATATAATTATTTATTTAAAAATTATAACATAAAAATATTATAAAATCACTACAAAAATAGCCATTTTGTTTCAACACCTCTGGTGTCTTTTCAAGTGATGATGTTCAATGTACATATGATTTTATAACACTTTTATGTTATAATTTTTAAATAAATAATTGCACACACACACACACACACATATATATATATATATATATATATATATATGTATATATATATATATATTATGAAATGCCTTAATTCCGGCAGTTATTTTTTTTATTTACCGGCCTGAATATTCGAAAAATTTCGTAGAAAATATGTGCTTCTCCGCAAGGGATCGAACCTGCAACCCTTAATGGAAACCAACATTTTATCTGATGTGCTGTTAACCATTCAGCCAGAAAGAAGTGTCTAGTTAGCAAAGTTCGGTGTTATTTTTTTTTTCTAGCGTGATCATATCTGCTCACGAAATATATTTTAACGTAAAAATTGACAACATATGAAATGCATTAATTCCGACAATTATTTTAATATATATTTCGTTTGTCGGAGAAGTACATATTTGTTTCGAAATTTGTCAAACATTCAGGCCGGTAAATATAAGTAATACTGTGTAATTAATAAAAATAGAGCATTTGCATAAATAAATTTTAACTATAATAAATAATATAAATAACATATAAACGGAATATTTATATATATATATATATATATATATATATATATATATATATATATATATATATATGTGTGTGTGTGTGTGTTGTTTTGTATGTGCATATCTCATATATATATATATATATATATATATATATATATATGGATGGAAGGAATCCATTGAAAATACTCATGAAATATAGACACACATTAATTATTTCATATTCAATGCGAAATAAACGTCTTATATAACATTTCAAAATAGAAAAGTGACCCTTCCAACGAATCCAAGTATATTGTTATACTGTTATGATGTTAAGTTGGGGTTAGTAGAGACAAACGCCAAATAACACGTAACAATAAAAAGGGTTTTAATAGGTTGGTAAAGAGGTACAGAAATCGCCTGAGTAGTCAATAACTAGCTCAGCTAAGAACTTCTCTGTCTATCTGTCTTCCCCATGTCAACTGACATGCCACTATTTAAAGTCTTTGTTCGCAGACGCAGACAAGTTCATCTTCAAGAGAGGGTGGTAGGTTTCCGATACAACATGTACCCACCAAATTTATCACACATACAACTGAAAAGAAGTTATCTGATCTCAACATAAAATTCATCACGACTTCCTGTAATAATTATCACCAGTAATCGTTATTTATTCAATCGGGTTACATCCGGCATTCATGAATCTATTAGACTAACCTTTACGGTCCTGTATCTAAAAGTCATTTGGATGGCATTCTGTATCATAACGTAGCTGGTCAATGTAGGTGGTTACTGGGCGACCGGCCCGTCTTGCGCCATGACTAGGGGTCCAGGGTAGTTGATCACCCACAATGTCACGTTTTTTCTCGCCAGCAGTGTCCAGCAATGCGCATTCGGCGTTTGCATAAGATTGTAGAAATATTAGGCCTGACGACTGCGTAAAACAGACTATCACCTTTCGATGTTGACTTCAATGTCCACGTCTCTCTCTCTCTCTCTCTCTCTCTCTCTCTATATATATATATATATATATATATATATATATATATATTAAGAGATGAAACAATTCCGCTACCTTGGTTTCAACCTTTAGGTTACTTCAGGCTCAATTAAATTAATTTCCTAATGTTTTTTAAATAAAAATAAATTTGAAGGCTAAATTTAAAAAAAAATCAATGAATAAGCATAGGACGTAAGGTGTGGTAAATGGTGATGGCGATGAGGATTAGAAAATCTAGTAAATTGTAAATGTATCGAAGGGGGCTTAAATGAAATATACATTCTTTTAATCCCACTTCATATGAACTCAAAATTTTAGAAATACATTTTAGTATGTATACAAGTATACAACGGGTGATATATTATATATTCTATTGCTCATGCAATATATATATATATATATATATATATATATATATATATATATATATATATTATAACTATTTTTTAAAAATATGATTCCTTCATGAAGGAATCATATATATTTTTTAAATAATTACAATCTCTGCTCTACTTCTGTATGGAGCACTTTTTTTTAAAAATAAAAGCAAAAATCCTAAAAGCCTGGACTACTTACTTAATGTGTTCTTTCTTATTTTTCTACATAGCTGCGCACACACACACACACACACACACACACACACACACACACACATATATATATATATATATATATATATTTGGATTTACATTGAGCTCTGTGGATTTTATCCTCCTTCGGATTACCCATACGGTTTACCTAGTTTTCATAAACTAACTAACTAACTAACTAACTAACTATATATATATATATATATATATATATATATATATATATATATATATATATAAATGGACAGGGTCCGACAATTTATTTATTAAAGACATATTTATGTTTAACGTTGTTATTTTATAGATACAAGAAATTTAATAGAAATCCTGTCTGTTTAGAACGAATATTTTCTATTAAAATAACATTTACATTCAGGCCTGAATGTTATTTAATTTTTATCATAAATCCTTTCTTAAATACTTGTTTCTATAAAAAACAACGTTAAACATAAAATATGTCTTTAATATATATATATATATATATATATATATATATATATATATATATATATAAAAAGACATGTCCGTTTCATCTTTTATTGCATTTTCCCAGTTTTCTTATTACAAATTGTACATCAGGATAAAATTTTGGTTAACTTTCTGAGATTCTTGTTTTGTTCATTTTTTTCAAGTTTTCTATGACCCTCCCAGTCATTCTAGAGAATTGGCTGTGACAGTGTTTCAAAACAGAATTTCCTTGGATACATACTGGAATTTTAGATACTTAAAATTTGAATTTATTCTATAGTGGCGTCATTTGGAACAGTTAAATGAAGTTAGAACGCACCAACTAAAGCATTTATCAGATATATATTCATATTTTAAAAATTATTTTGTACGCATATTAAATATTTTATAGACACTTTAAGATACCATCTCCAGCGATGGATGACAAATGAGATTTTTACGTTGTTTTTCTTGAAATGGCATGTATCTGTTTTGACCCACCTGCAAGGTTATGTACTTTTCTTCTTCTTCTTCTTCTTCTTCTTCTTCTTCTTCTTCTTCTTCTTCTTCTTCTTCTTCTTATTTTATTACTTTTGTTTTTTGCTCTATATTCAATTCTTTCCTAAGGTCAGAAATGACGTGACATTTTCCACTGAGTAGTTTAAAAAAAATCACACACATTTTACATAGATAAAGCCTTTCGTAAGATGTGAGCTGTACTAGTGCGAACAATCTTTTGTATTTTATTTAAGGCATGTGCTACCAGGGATTCCTTCAATGAGTCTATTGGAATGTTTTCCGAGGGCTCCAACTACAACTAAAATGTTTGATCTCCACATGTGTCACGTTATCGAGATTTCTATTTCAAGCTCCTTGTACATTGCTAGATTTTGAAGATCTCCAAAGATAAAAT